TTTTTTGAACTGAAATTTAGTAGTTTTAATTTTACTTTTATCGACGTGAATATTCTTATTTTTGGAAAAATTATGAAATTTTCAGAAAAATTTCACTAAATTTTGAAATTGTGAAACTTATTTGATTTCTAAAATTTTACCGAAATTTCTGGGACTTTTGGAATTGGAATTGGAATTGATTTTGTACTTCCGAAATTTTTTGGAAATTTTTCGAAAAGGCTAATTCCGATTCGATCCATCCGACTTTCACCCCTAACAATTTCAGATATTTTCTTTTATTTCTCACCTATTTTACAGAAGGTATTATAGACTGTACACAATTTCTGGTTAAAAACTCGATCAACAACTAATTAGAGGGATATTTTGGTTATTACGGATAGGTGGAGGCGATTTTCGTTATTTAGCCTAAGTTCAGGAGGTATTCGTAACCCTATAAGTTATTGTTCCTCAAAAAAAAAAAAAATAATAATAATGAATCAAAATCAGTACGAAGATTCACATAGGCAGGAGGCAGCTCGAAATTCGGTACCTGTGGGCGAGCTTCAGGAAAAAGCAAAGGCTGCATTGGCTCAGGTAAACTTCGAGAAATTAGTACTTATAGAAATACCAATATATTTGTGAAAATAAATCCAACTTGCTTCGATTTAACTCTTCTTATATTTTTAATGGGATAATTCAACTCTTCGATTTTTAACTTTTCGCTAACAACTTAAGCTTTTGGTTGATATGACCATTCAACATATATCAACATACACCTGGCATTTCTGATATTTATTTATTATATATATACTTGAATTTAATTAGGAGGGAAATCTAAATCCAGCAAAAGATGAAATTGATCATGCATTCCTGGTGCAGTTGCTCTCCTGGTTTAAGCACTCCTTCAGGTCTATAACCAATTGTACATATATTCCCATTAATCATGAATTAATTGCTTATTTAAGATTTTTTATTTTTTCGTTGTCAAATATTTATTGATATAAACAATAATTACATTTAAACCTCTATAAATTAATACAAACATGAGCAGTCAAATTAGTTTAATTTAGCGAAATATTAATTTAACGATATATAACATTTAACAAGTTGCCCTCAAGTTGGGACCCAGTAAAAATATTAATTCAACGAGTTTATTAATTTATCGAGGGGGTATTTGCACTCGGCTCCCCTGTGAAATCTCTAATTGGCAAAAAAACCCCTCGGATAAATAAATTAGCAAATACCCCCCTATGAAAGGAAGTCAATGACAATAAGGACCCTACGAGCGAATCGTGGGATACACTCGCGGTTCATGCAGCTGGGCGTGCGTTTTAGGACATTTTAGGACAGGAAAAGACATAAAAACCCTTTGTAAGAGGAAAAAAACCCAGAGTGATTCAATTATAAATAATCTAAAGTTATAGGACTAAATTATAATTATCAAAATTATGGGCTGAAATCACTATTTTGGAAAAAATATCGTCTTCCCCAAAATCCAAATTTCTTCTTCGCCATTGAAATCACCACCACCAAATTCCCACCACCACCACCAAATTCCCACCACCACCACCACCACCACCGGCACATCACCACCTCTTCCCGCCGGACCCACCCCTTTCCTTCTACAACATGTCTCCTCCGCTCTTCTTGACCCCCCCCCCCATGGAAAAGCTGTTTTGTCGGCCCATCCATGAATGCCCTGCCCCAGCGGAGATGTTGATCTAACCCTTCCTAATTAATCCGGTTTGTCAGAAAGGTATGTGATTCGTGTCTCTTCGAAGGTTGGTTTCGATTGGCTGCTTTGTGTTCAGTCTGTTGTTATTCCAGACAGAACTCAGAAAGCTTCACCTTTACAAGTCCGTGGCTATGGCTATTTTCTTTTGGAAGCCATAACTACGAACCCCCATAGCAAGGTCTACAGCACGGCTATGATAAATCCCAGTCCAGTAACTTGGGGAAGGAAGAGGTGAAATTCTTTTTCCTTTCCAATCTACCCAAATCGGCAGTCTATTGTCGGTGTTATGGCACCATCTTCGCCCCACCCAATGCTACACCTCTTCCGCTCGTACAAGGCGGCGGCTGCTGCTCCAGCGGCGGCGGCAACCCGGATTCTTGAAACCCGAAGCCCTGATGCGATTCTTGCCGAGACCTTTACAGTGGGGTTTTGATGGTTAGGGTTTTGCTGAGCTGGTTCCCCAATATTCCTTGGGACGGCGGCGGTGCGGAGGGCTGGGGCTTGGGGAAAATGGTGGATGAAGTTGTGGTGGTGGGTGTGGGGTGTGGTGGAAGACGGGATGAAGAAGAACACTATTTTCTTTTTTCTTTTCCTTTTTTAATTGTTATTATATTTAACACATATTTTATTTATATTTGTTTGTTTAAAATTGAAAATTTATTAAAAATTGTTAGACATTATTTTTTATTTTTCGCTTTATTTTTTATTAAGGGTAATTCTGTCATTTCACTTAAGTCAACGAGCCAGTGCACACAAAGGGGCGGTGGGCTGACTAAAACACAACAGAGGGGGTTATAAGCTAATTTTTTTTTCCGGGGGGGTTTTTTGCTTCCGAGAAATAACACAGGGGGGTCTATGCAATTAACTCATTTATCGAGGTTCTGATGGTGGATGTATAGGTGGGTGGATGCACCTCCTTGTGACAGTTGCAATAACAACACAAGCTTTCATGGTGTAACATTTCCGAATCGCTCTGAATCACTTTATAAAGCATCTCAAGTTGAACTTTACCGGTCTCTCTCTCTCTCTCTCTCTCTCTCTCTCTCTCTCTGCATTGAAGAGAGGTACTATAGTTGTTTTGACATTTTACTTGTCCAATTCTATAGCTGCAACGAATGCTCAAAAGTTACCCGTTTTCCGAGATACAACGACCCAGTCAAGGTATGATATTTTACGAAGCTGATAATTAAGTTTTTTTAAATCTTGATTTTCTTAATAATTTTTTTATTATTTTTTTATATTTAGCTTGTGGAAACAAGGAAGGGACGATGTGGGGAGTGGGCTAATTGCTTCACACTATATTGTCGCTCTTTCGGTTTCGAAACTCGGATGGTGAGTTCTCGTTTTCAAATGAAATCTTATCTTCTTTCGCGCAACACATTTTCTCTCCCCTTTTCGGTTCTTATAAGTCAAGGCCTTTGCAAAAAAAATTGAGTGCCAATAGTTTTCTTGTTTAATTTGTAATATCAAAGTTTATTTCGTTTGCTTCGATCTTATTTTTTAGCGTTTCTCCGTCGTTTTCTAGATCTTAGACTTCACCGATCATCTTTGGACAGAGTGCTACTCACCATATTTAAAAAGGTAAAACTTGTTTCATTATGCTGATGCTTCACATTTTAACATTTTATGATATTAAAGCATCAGCGATGCGGGATCACTTGAAATGAGTAGTTCAAAGTTGAATTGGAGAATTATTTAATTAGGAATGCGGGTTCGAATGCCACTAGCTTTGCGTTGACTTAAGTATGCGATGATGCTTGTTCGTCTTTCCTGCAAAACCACTTAACACACTACGTGACACGTCCAGGAGTTCCCCGGTGATTACACTCCGACACTTAAGTCAGATGATATCGCGTGTTGATAATTAACTCAATACAGCTTGAAAGCAATTAAGTCAATATGAAATTCACGTATACCTTCAAATGCTGATTATACTAAGATTAAATAGATGAAAGCTCACAAGAGCTTTTTACTATTAAATCAATGTAAAATGAGAGTAATTCCTTTTATTTTAATTAAGGAATAAGCTATATCAATCAAATGTTTATATTCATAAGAGTTAAGACAAAAAAAAAAAAATATATATTGCAGATGGGTGCATCTTGATCCTTGTGAAGGAGTATTTGACAATCCACTACTTTATGAGAATGGGTAAATTTTCTTAATTCATATATATTCTTTTTTTTTTTTCTAATTATATATGAAATGTTTTGTCACACCACCTTAATTAATTAGAACGTCTACATTTTGCCTTTGAAGCTGGGGCAAGAAATTGACATATGTAATTGCTTTTGCAAGAGATGGTGTTTACGACGTCACTAAGCGTTACACTAGGAAGTGGAATGAGGTACTCGTATATATTTCAATTTATGATTTTTGCGAAGAAAATCGAGACTTATTTAAGTATTATTTTTGTTGTGTAGGTATTGACTAGACGAGTCATAACTACCGAGCCTGCTCTAGCTAGTGTCATCACTGATATAACGAGTGAACGGCGTAAAAACTTCGACTCCGAGATGCTTCTAAAGCTTGATGAACGTGACAAGAGTGAAGCACAAGAATTCGAGAGGAACTTGCTTGCTTGATTGATGCTTCAATTTGATTTCTCTTTGTATTGCTACAATGATTTTTATTAATCAGTTTTTAATGTATTTATTAATTTTCTTGTGGTTGAGTGATACCTCTTCCATTCTTGTAGTGGGAGGTCATGGGTTCGATTCCTGTTGTGTGCGTGTTCGCTATAAGGCCATCTTCGTTGTTGTTGTTGTTGTGTTTTTTTCGTTTTTTTTTGTAATGATTACTTAAATGTGATGGTAACGAAACTTTTATGTTTTCATTAATTTTTTATGAAATGTCCGGAACCGGAACAATTGCAAAGTTTCCGATGATTTTCTTTATTTAAAACGTGTGTTGGATTTTTTTTGGGTCGAAATGCGTTTCTATTTTTTCACTATTATAAAAAACGTCCATGAAACTTTTAAATATTTATGAAAATGGCCCCGTCCCAAAACGTTTCCGACAGGTGTTATGGAGTTTCGGTTTCTTGTTGCGTCCATTTTTTGTTTCAAGTGATTCTTAATTTCTTGCATGAATATAAATATCTGAATTTTGTGAAATAGATTAAGGTGGTGTTTGCAAACGCCTTTTCAAAGTGATTGTAAGCTTTTTAATGTTTAAAAAAAAAACTAATTTTGAAAAAAAAAAAATTGTTCATAATCACTTTGGAAAGCGTTTGCAAACACCACATAAATAGAACATGTAACGGTACAAAGTTAGCCGTATTAATATTGGCCGAGTTGGGTTAAATAAAATTTAGATTTATTTTTTATTTTTATTTATTTATTTATTTTATCCTTTGAACTCCTATATATTATACTTCATTATAATTATATAAATCAAAGGGACGTAATCGAAATTGAAATTGATTTAATTATCAAAAAAAAAAAAAAAAACAATTGAAATTGAAAATGATTTAAGTGGCTGAAAATAAGGCCAAGAAGTTTGTTTACCTGCACACAGTTAGCTTCGAATGGGCAGCTGCACTACTTGGCCACGTCCATTATACGTCTTGCCGCCAACCAATACGGTCTCTCTCTCTCTCTCTCTAGACTCTCTCTCTCACACACACTTTATTTCCGCCAGCCAATATATTTGATATATATATATATATGTATGTATTCAGAGACTTGGTGGTTTCCGTTGCTGCTCCGCCGCGCCAAATGGCAAAAGTAAAGGAAATCAAACGCCGCAGCTGTTGAAAATTGCCGTCAGTGGTGCGACGGAGCTTCTCCGACTAATTTCTCCCGCCGGCCGACAAAGGTATCTCCCGTGTTTGTCGTTTCTCTCCTCTTTCTCCTCTGCTTATTGGGTAAATTACGAAGACCCCTAAACTATGATTAAATTACAAAAATCACCTCCACCTATTCGTAATTTTCAAAAACCCCCTGAGGTTTGTTTCCGTCTTACACCAACCCCTAGCGGTGTGACTTTTCACGGGTCTTTTTTATTCCATTTCAGTGAATAGACTTTACACAATTTCAATATTTTCTTTTATTTTTCACATATTTAGCATAGGCTGTGCACATTTTCTGATAAAAAAACTCGATCAACAGTTAATTAGAGTTTATTAGGGTTCTAACGGATTATTAGGTTCAGATAGTGGTGGAAACAATGTAGAGCTAAGGGGTGACATGGCACTCCTAACATTTCTTATTTTATATAAGATTAATAAATTTTCGTTTATGGTTGCGAAAACGAAATATTGGCTCCGATAATTGTTTCAGGGGTGTGGCTGTAGTTACCAATACCACAGAGACCCTTAAAAGTTATTTTAGCATACCCAGAGGTGTGGCCATGTACGTGTACTTTACCCTGCATTATATATGTATATGTGGTGATAATTTTTATTTTTATTTTCTTAGGAAGGAAAGGAATATATTTTGATGTAGAGTAAGTAATGTGAATGATTAATTTGAAGAGAAATGTATTAATTCGAAATAACGTTTGTTAGCGAGCTTTGATTCGTATACGAAGACTCGTATAGTTGAGCTGTAATAATACTGTATTTGTTCAAGCTTATGATTTCAGGACAGTTTTAGTGGCAAACGAATTGGATGATGAAAGTCCGGTATCGAATATAGACGACGTTCTTTCCGTAATCAGATCCGATTACGAGAAATCTTACTTTGTCACAGGTATCCATCTGCCCAAAAAATAAAAAAATCGGGATGTCAAAATCGAGATGCTAGTAGTTCTTGATATCATACATCTTTATCTTTGTTTCTTTATATAAAGCTGAATGAAGAGACTTTATATTCAATAACATACGATCTTTAATCATTCGTATAAGAAAGACTTCAATTTAACCTTTACCACCCCACTTTTCGATATGTCGATTGTCTTTTTATTGTGACCGCACGAAAAAAAAAATCCTTTGTTTTCTATATATATAGATTTTTTTCTGGCTGAGCTGACGAGGAGTTGAGTGACGACTGGTTGTATTCTTGTGGATGTAGGAATTTTCACTTCCGCAATTTATGCTGAAGACTGCACATTTGAAGATCCGACTATCAAATTTCAAGGTTAGAGGAAGCCGTTTTCTCTCGATTGAAGTTGCGTTTGTTACGCATGATAAGCGTAAGAAGGTAAAAAAGAAACATATGATATACGAGCTTTTGATATATTCTGCTTCGTACTTTTGGTGGCAGGTACGGAATTATACGAGCGCAACTTGAGACTGCTTGTACCTTTCTTCGACGATCCATCAATCCAGTTGAAAAACATAGAGAAGGTAATTTTGTGTGTGTGTGTGAAGTTCTTGGTAATGTTAACACTTCGAATCGTTTTTGGATATAACACAGGGGTACTAATTGCAATAAACTCGTAAATAATAATAATGTTGTTGATACGCAGGTTCTTGATTCCGGAACTGAATTCATAGTTGCTTCATGGAAATTAAGGTGCTGGATTATATCGATAACTATAATTTCTCCATTTCGATACCAATTTAATTACTATTGTCACACACGTAGTTAGTATTAGGGTAAATTACACTTTCCTCCCTTTACTTTGGCTCGGTATCACTTTACTCTTTTCTACTCTCGATTGCATCGATTTGCCCCTCTGCATTTGAAAAATTATCTCAATGTGGCACTCTTTGTTGTGGCACTCTTTGTTAGTTGTCAGGCATTTGACCTTAACACCATTTGATCTAAGCTCTGAAAGTACAAAAACGCCACATCTTCCAATTTAAATAATTATTAAAAAAAACAAAAGAAATATAATAAAAAAATTCAAGACAATGAGAAAACATAGTCCACGATGCTAGCCACAATTTATTTTTTATTTCTTTAATAATTATTTAAATTGAGAGGGGTGGTTTTTTTTGTAATTTACAGACTTAGATCACACGGTGTTAAGGTCAAAGGTCTGAAAACTAATGGCGAGAGTCACATTGAGATAATTTTTCTAGTATAGGGGAACAAATCGATGCAATCAAGAGTATAAGGGGTAAAGTCATGATATCGATCCAATGTACAAGGGAGGAAAATGGAATTTACCTTTAGTAGTAATCCACAATTAATATTTGCATATTACATTATAAGCTGATTTTGGGATACAATTAATGAGAAAGATTGTTGTTTGAATTTATAATGTTATATATTATTTATTGTTTCTAAATCTTTCATATATAGAGCTCAATCTCATGTGCAGAACATACCTTAAACTTCCGTGGAAGCCACTTATCTCCATCGACGGAAGAACGATATATGATTTGGATGCAGCATTCAAAGTAAGCCAGCTGAAAAATGATTTCAGTCGGACAATATAATTTTTACGAAACTGTTTAAGATTGATTTTATTTGTAATAAAATGTCTCACTATTTTAAAAAAAAAATATATTGTCTTGACAGATAGTTAGGCATGCTGAGAGCTGGAACATTTCTGCACTTGAAGCAGTTATTCAGATATTTACTCCTAGCTCCGAAACTCCACGCCGATGACAGCGAACGAGATTTATCCTCGTTTTTCATCCTCGGTTTTTAAATCCTCAAAATACTATTATTTTAGTAAGAGAATTTAGTATTTTTCGAGTAAGGCCATCTTTTTTATCATACATTTCGAGATGAAAAAAGTTCTAAGTTTGTGCTTATAAATTTTGAAAATATTTATTTACACTTTTAAAATACATGATTCGTTTCAATATTAAATATAATAAAAACTATAATCAATGTATAGGGTTAATTTCTCCCGCGTAAATTTAGTCGTATTCATTCATTATCGTTATTTATGTCTTGTATAAAAGTAACCAACTCTTCATGATTTAAAGATTGAAAAATGTCTGGTTAATGATGACCTAGTGGTTGAAGCAAGTGAGCTTATGTCAATTGACTCAAGTTCGAATTTCCTTGTAAACGGTCGTTAGGTCGAGTTTGTTATATATACGGTTAGCCTAGTGTAGTTTACGTCTCTCGTATGGTGATTCTTCGTGATTTATGAGAGATTTTTCAAATTGGATTCTTCTTAAATTATGGAAAGTTCATGCTGGAATTAATAATTTACAAAAATTAAAATGTAATTTAATAAGTATAAATAAAATGTAAATTATAAACCCTAAACTACTCGAAACGCGAAGAGATAGAACTAAATGCAACCCTAAATTCATCATTTGCAATGGCCAGTACACTTTATTCCAATAATACCCTTCACTTATTATTTGGACTGAATTTATTATTTTTGAATTTTTTTTAATTATTATTTTTTAATTTATAAAAATATTTAAAAAATATTCTTATGAATTTTTCTTTTTGATAAGTTTACTACGTCGAATATGACTATAGTCTAATATGACTATATTTGGCCATATCAACTGTAATCACATTCTTTCATTTTATTGCCGTTGTTACATTTTCAATTTAAAAATTCCGATTATATAGTGTAGTACAATCATATTTGAAATACGTGGAATGTGGGATTCCACAATTGGTTTTTAACTCTCTTATTTTTCAAACTAAATTTTAGTTATGATTAAGTGCTTAGTGGGCTAAGTAGTGCTTAGTGGATTAAATTGTGGATTTTATCTTAACTTCTAAACTAACCCACTAACCCATTTTCTTGAGTGCTCTTGTGGTTGGTTTTCTTGCAGATCATGGACTGGGAAGTGGAAGCTTGGAAAGTCTATAAATACCAAACTCAAGACTCAAGAAAGTGATCGATTCTATGAAATAAAAACCGAGAGCTGAAAAGAATACATGAGTGTTTTAGTGTGGTTTTAGAATCGGTTGTTTGTACTCTTTATGAGTACAATCTTTACGTACTCCTCATGAGTACATTCTTTACGTACTTCTCATAAGTACATTCTTTGTAGTCTAGATTGTTTAGTATATGTGTTTCTAGACTTGGTTGTAAGAATGATCAAGATAGTGATCCATTCATAAGTTCTTTACGTACTCCTTATGAGTACATTCTTTGAAATCTAGAATTTTTAATATTTTTCTTTTAGTATCTAGATTTGATTGTGAGAATGATCATGAAAATGATTCATTCATAAGGAAGAAGTTTTTGCACCTCTTCTGTTTGTATTCTTGGAATACTGATTTTAATATATTTTTTCCGTCCTGTAAAGGGCAAGTTCACAAGTCTTTACTTGTGAACATTTTTTATTCTGAGTATTGTTCTTTTATCTGTATATTTCCGCTGCATGTTTGTTCAAGTGTCATAACACTTAAGATAACATCTCTGTATTAAACGAATTTGGGACCATAACATCTCTGAAAAAATAGAAGAGATAATTTGTAAGGGAGAGAACAAAATAGAGAGATACAGAGAACAAAATAAATGAAAATTGCATCACGTTAAAAGGTGTGGGTGAGCTAGGGTTTGTAATGAAAGGGTAGAATAGGGATATAACAATTTCAAAGGGAGTCTCACTAATTAAAAGTGAAATTTGGGTTAGAGAAAAACTCTATAAAATCAATTGATTTTAGTTCAAAATATTTCAAAAAATGACCGGCGTATAGCATATTTCCCCTTCATAAAATATCGTTTTATTGTGGGGCTTGTTGCAATAATCTAGTTTAAGAGGGACTAAATTGCAAATTAACTCATTGTTCGTTTCACACACCTACCACACCTCCGTTGACATTTGCCTGAAAAGTCTTCACCGTAACCACTAACCAGTATTTAACAGTTCACATTTTTCTTTTTTTTTTTAATTTACCGGCATAAACAAAGTACAACAGAAGAACAGAGGCGGAGAAATTGAATCGGCGAAAATGGTGGCTCGCAAATTCGTCGTTCATCACGGCGGCTCCGCCTTCGACCTCGACTACGACACCGACGACGGCTTCGAAGTTCGCTCTTCGCTCGATTTTTATTTTTTTTTCAATTTTCTCTCTCCTCTCTCTAAAATTCGCAACTCTCAAACGATTTTTCTCTGCTCTTTTTTGTTTTGATTTTGTTTTTCAGGTGCTCAAATTCCAGCTCTTCTCTCTAACCTCCGTCCCTCCCGATCAACAAAAGGTAATCTTCTTTCTTTATGCTGGATCAATCAATTACGAATTGGATTTAATTTGATCAATTCACGGTTTTTGTGTGTTGTACTCTGTGCTGGTGGAGTTGTACCCTGCATTTGGTAATTTCATTAACAATCACCAATAAGGAATTATATTATGATGTAATTTTTCTTATACCACAGCATCAATTATGTTAGTATCATAAGCAATCATATGAATGGGCATGACGTAATTGCTGTCGTTCGTTTTTTTTTGCAGTATTAAATTTTACTACGTGGCTCGTTTTGCGTATGTCGGTTTTGCGAGTAAACGCATGTTGTGTTTGATTTAATGGTGGGATTTTGACTTGTAATGCATCAGATATTGGGAGCTGATGATAATCGTGAAGTATCTGATGAGTCTGATCTCGAATCGATTTCTGATAAGCTACGGTTGGTGTCGATTGATGAGGGCGAAACATCAAAAGAAATGGACAAATCTGCAGATGATTTTGTAATATCTGATGAAGAATTGGCGCGAAAACTGCAGGTTTCTGCTCGTTACCTAATTCATTAATTTTTTAGCCAGTCGTCTCAAATTTTGGTTGAAGTGCTGACCTTTGGCAATGTAGTTGAACATGGTGTAAAACATAATTTAGAATATGAATTGTTGTAAATTGTTGTAAAATAGATGATTATAGAAATCACATAGAAAATCTTTTCAACTTTATTTTGAATTAGGTAGATAAGTTTTTGACAATAATTTCTTGACTCCTTTAACAAAAAAAAAATCAATATTTTCATATGGTATTTCCAGAGGACTCTCCTGTTTTTTTTTTTTTCTTCTCATTGGCGGATCATTTGTTCCTATACTAACTGTATGTTCAATATATACTGACAGTAAGTAATATCTTGAAGTTGCATTGTAGTATAAGAAGCAAAGTAAATCCATTTTGAAATGGAAATTTCGTAAAATATTAACAAATATTTTTGCTTTTATTTAGGCAGAAGAAGACGCATTAATGATGCAACAGTTTGTGAGTAGTGAAAACAGAGAGCAGGTTGAGCAGAGGATTCGCCCTTATGTTAGTCAAGTTTTGATGGTAATCATTGTTTTCCCACTAATTTGGTCCTTCATTCTATAATATCCGCGTAGTTGTTTTTCCTCTATTACCTCAGATGCAGTAGTTTTAATTCACGATGTGGTTAGTGAGATTAGAACTTAAAGTACTTAACAAATTGCTTCTTAATTTGATAAAAAAGTCTTATAATTTATTCTTCCTGAAAAAAAAAATGAAGCAAAATTTGTTATTGGTATGACATGGCGCAGTACGAAGATCCACATAGGCAGGAGGCAGCTCGAAAGACAGTACCTGTGGACAAGCTTGAGGAAAAAGCAATGGTTTCATTGGCTAGGGTAAGGGCATTTAACTCTGAAAACTGTCCAATCATCTGAATTGAAACACGCTTACCTATGTATGTTTTTTTCATTGGCTCAAAATCATAGTTATTGTTGTTTCTACAGTTCTATTACTATGGTGACACTTGGAATTTATCATATTTATATACTTCATTTTAGGAGGGAAATCTCAAACCAGCAAAAGATGAATTTGATCACGCATTCCTGTTGCAGCTGCTCTTCTGGTTTAAGCAATCATTCAGGTCTAAAACCATTGTATTCCCATTAATCTTAAGTGATGGCTTCTTATTTAAACCTTGCTGGAAAAACAATATGATATTATCTGGTGTGCTTTCATTTGCTATGTATTGGTTGACTCCAACTTTTCGTTTCTGAACAAATATTTCAAATAGAGGATTCTTCGTTTGCATTACAATGTCCTCTTTACATAATGGTGCAATTTAGTCTGGCATATCTAAGAAGAAGAGCATATAATCACTCGATGTGTGAGCTTATGCCTCACTTGATTGCACTTGCGAAATGGAACTATCTTGTTTGTTCTCAAACTTGTTCGGAACAATTATATGCTTCTGAAGAACCAATTATGATATAAAAGTGCATATTTTCTTTAATATTCCTTTCCGTATATTATTATACCTCTATTCTGACATCATAATGCACTTCCAACATTGATGCCTCTAGGTGGGTAAACGCACCTCCTTGTGACAGTTGCAATAACGAGACAATCAATCAAGGTATGGGAGTTGCAAATCACTCAGAATCACTTTATGGAGCATCTCGTGTTGAACTTTACCGGTATATCTTTATATCTTGATGCTAAGTTTTTTTTCCTTTCTTGTACCAGTTTTTCATTTTTTGTCCCTGACTGCTGCAAATGAACCTAAAATTTCTAATGGCTTTCCTCTATTTCCCTTTTGTACCATGCTTTATATTTGAAGCCGATGCATGACATGCAATACCAAACTCCATGAATTATTTGCTGAAGCTACTCTTATTTTGACATTCTTCTCAAATTCTACAGCTGCAAGACATGCTCTAGTGTTACCCGTTTTCCTAGATACAATGACCCACTGAAGGTATGGTATTTTGTGATGACGAGAAGGTTTTTTTTTTAAATCGTGATTTTCTTAATTAATAGATTTTATTTCGATGCAGCTTGTAGAAACAAGAAAGGGACGATGTGGGGAGTGGGCCAATTGCTTCACACTATACTGTCGAGCTTTTGGTTACGAATCTCGATTGGTGAGTTAACAAGTTTGCCTTAGTGTTTTGCGTACAATCTTGAAATTGATTAATTTCTTCCTAGTGACCAGCAAGTTTGAATGCAATCTCCATGAAAGCAAAAAACATCTTTTAGTTGAAGAGATGTTAATGAAGCTTCTTTTCTTGAATCCAAAGGAATCCAAATTAGACATGGTCAAACTATGATGGTTCCGTGTCTCATTGTTAAGCCAGACTGTGATGAAAGTATCTATTTTCTCGAGTCATCTTGACTCCTTTCTCACACTCCACCTGATATTGGGAACTGGGGAACTGTAGCTCATTGTGGTTGGTAGTTCGTCTTTTTATCTTTAGTATGCCATTCAATATATTCTTGACGACGTCTTTGAGGATTATTGCACTAGAGGAAC